AACCTGCAGAATAGCTAGAGCAACACAAATATCAAATGAAATGCGAATTGAGACACGATATTTGTTTTACCGAAGTTCGGACTCGTTCGAGTCCTACTCTCCGTTGAGGGGGCTGTGGGCGACCCAGCGAAGGTCAGCCCTAGAGGGTACCACGAAGGTCACTCTAGCCGGAGTCTTTTCCAACTTCTTTTCCTCCTTCCACTAAATGATTCCGAGGCGGCGGAATCGACCGTTACAAACTTTTCAAGGCACACCACAATCTCTCGGGTGCTCTCCGGCACGCCTAAACGTCTAGGACCGAAGAGTCCAAGAGTAACAAATGCGAATCACGAGATTGACAATATGCACAAGTGCTCAAGTGGTGGCTTGCTCTCCTTTTCAAATTCTCTCTTAACCCACAAATTGATTTTGTAATTTGGATCACACACTCACTAAGAGAGGGTTTAGGAGAGTTGGCAAGGCTCAAAGACGTGTGTCTATCTCAGCAGAATCAGCAGCCTCCAAAGGTGGAGGCTTGGGGTTATTTATAGCCCCCTTGAAAAACTTGCCGTTTTATAGTCGTTGCTATACCGGACACGTCCGGTATGTCCGGTATGACTTACACTGCCCCAACGGTAACTAAGTTACAGTGAAGTTGTGAGGCGTCGGAACTCCCGATGAATGCCGGAACTCCCGACCCTCAGCAAATTTGAAAACCATGTAACTGAGTTAAAGAATATGATGTGTCGGAACTCCCGACACATGCTGGAACTTTCGACCGTCAGAACTCCCGACTCACGTCGGAACTCCCGACCCTCAAGGCTTTGGAAAACTAGCCGTTGGCCTCTGGTCGTCCATACCGGACATGTCCGGTATGACCAGGACAGTGAACCCTCCAAGACAGTTAAAATGTGAGACGTCGGAACTCTCGACCTACGTCGGAACTCCCGACGAACCAACCCAAGAACAACAATTTTACAACTGCTGGGTAAATACCGGACACGTCCGGTATGAATACCGGACACGTCCGGTATTGCCAGACCAGCAAAAATAAAGTTAGCTCTTTTGTCACTCAAATACTCAAAACTCACTTGGGTTGGCTTGAGCACTTATGAAACATGATATCAACATGATGCATCCCTCTTAATAGTACGACATTCCTATTTACTCAAATTTAAAAGTATAACGGATTTAAACCTTTTGAGTTGCTCTTGTTTTTGAACCGAAGTCGTGTATTCCAATCTTCATCAAGTGAGGGTGCCAACATGTTGATATTGATCTTTTTCACTTGAGCATAGCCATCTTGAGCACGTGACTTGATTCCATTCATCAAATTTAAATAATCCCAAATGTATCAAGTCACTTCTATCAAACACTCAAATAGTGATTTGATCCTTCACATCAATATGACCATCGTAGCTTGATTAGTACCTCAACTAAATGCAAGTACTTTCTTCTTCACCCTAGCTAGGTTCTTCTTCCGCCGCCAAGCCGTCCGCTTGCCCTTCACCCTTGCTTAGTACCTCAAGTCTTTCCTTGTTATCTTCACCATCTCAAGCCATCAAGTCACATCTTGTGTTGAATCATCCATTCATTTGTATTGTTGTCTTTTTTATTTCAATTTAGCAAGCTTTAAATATGAGACCATTCCATATGCAATCCCTCATGTCTCATTAATTAATACTTAAGAGCTTGCTTTCACATAGCACATAGAAATCCCACAACAAATAAGCCTTTGCATGAATTCCATTTGCATTGTTGTATTGTGCTTGAACTAGATTGTTTATACAACAACACATCATTTTAGCTTTCATTAAGTACCTGTGAGATAACCTATTACCTGTCCACACTTAGCAAACGGGTTAGACCTTTAATCACGTTGTCATTCAATCATCCAAAACTCACTGAAGGGCTAGATGCACTTTCAGACACGAATAGCAAGATGCGACTTGGTTCATAAAAAATGTTCATCTAAATTACCCGCCTATACCATTTTTCTATACATGCATAATATTACTATGATTAGCTAAAGACTCTTTTTTGAGTCTATATGTTAATCCTCAAGAGGCATGCTAAAAAAATAAATCCTAAAAATTCTATAAAAAATAGAAACATCCGACCTATTGGTGGATTTTTTTTATTTTTAATCCTTTTTTATTCTATATTTTAATAATAATCGCTCCAAAAAAAATCGGATCTTACTCTTTTGGTCGCGCCAACACCGCTGGAGCGACAAAATAACGTTGTCACGCCACATGCATTAGCGCGGCAACATCCGCCACGTTATACGGCGTTTCCGACGTGGAAAACGCTGTCACGCCACTCCCGTTGGCGTGATCTGGCGTGATAAGATCAAACCTTTGAAAAATCATAACTCTTTGATACGATGTTGGATCAAGATGAATTCTATATGAAAATTATAGATCTCGATGAGATCTACAATTTTGTAGTTTCGAGTTTTTTCATTTGAGGACGTTAAGATGCTCAAAAAAGTAATATAAAATTTCGTGAGCAAAAATCACAGTAGAAGTGCTTAAATGCATTAGAAAAATAATATCTTTTTTGTATTTTGTCAAATGAAGATACTTTTTGCATAAAAGTTATAGCTCTCAATGAGATCTCAAACTTTACAGTTTTGAGTTTTCACATTTGAAGTCGTTAAGAAGCTCAAAAAGATAATATAAAATTTCAGTAGCATAATAATTTTTCTAACGCGACAAGGGCTACTATGCGATTATTATGCTGCAAAAATTTTATATTATTTTTTTGTGCATCTTAACGATCTTAAATGTAAAAACTCAAAACTACAAAGTTGTAGATCTTATTGAGAGCTACAACTTTTATGTAAAAAGTATCTTCATTTGACAACATATAAAAAAATATTATTTTTCTAATGTGATAAGCGATTATTATACTCCTAAAGTTTTATATTATTTTTTTAGTATCTCAACGTCCTCAAATGAAAAAACTCAAAACTAAAAAGTTGTAGATCTCATCGAGATCTATAATTTTTATATAAATTTCATCTTCATCTGACGTCATATCAAAAAGTTTTGGTTTTTAAAAGGTTTTGTCTTGTCACGCCACTCCTGGTGGCGCGACAGAACAAAACTGTCATACCAGCGGGAGTGGCGTGACAGCGTTTTCCACGTCGAAAACATCGTCTAACGTGGCATATGTTGTCGTATCAATGCATGTGTCGCGACAACATTATTTGATGACCAAAAGGGTCAAATTCGCAAAAAAAAAGCGTTTATTATTAAAATATTGAATAAAAAAAGGATTAAAATGGTCCGTTAGACTTTAATCATTATCAATAGCGACATCCATTAGGTCTATTAAGCTCTACCAAAAGTTAGCTGCCTATGTCATTATGAAAATTTATTCTAAATTAACCCTTAAACCTCTATGTTGATCCCAACATATGCCATTGAAAATATAATAAAAAAGAAATATTGTTAACTTGTCTAAATTTATCCGCCTATGCCATTATAAAAAAACAAATCTAAAGGGCATCCCAAACCCCTCCCTGTTCCAAAAAAAATGTTCATTTAAATTACCCATCTATGCTATTTTGGAAATATTCCAAAGTAACCCTAATTTGCATCTAATTAGTCATACCTTCCATTATTAAAAACAACATAAAGCAACCCATCTGTAACATAATGAAAAATAATCTAAATTGATTTTCTATATCTGCATCTAAATTTTCTGTAGTTGTATTATAAAATAAATTCTAAAGTACCTATATACATAGCTATCTAAATTATGCACTTCTACTATTGTTAATACAGGAAAGCAAACCCACAAGATATACATGCTCAAGCTAAGATTTTAACTAAACACATGTCAAATGCAAATGGAGGCAAGGTAAAAGGAAACTATGAATATGGATAGAGAAATATATAGATCTAGTAATTGGTAACTAAATTTTATTGCAAATGGGCAAAAAATAAGGTTGTTTGTAGGTATATGATTATTGTGTTAGAATATGAACAACTAGAGAGGAATAATTTATTTTGATTAGCTATGGTCCCTAAAATAAGTTTATCCATGAATTTCTAACACTTATCTATCTTAAATTACCATCCCGTACAGAGCAAGCACTGAGCACTGGTTGATGGACTAGTTAGTAGTTACAAGTGATTTACATTTTGGAAGCTTGAAACTTCTGAAGAAAATAATTTTTATTGTTCATACTTTTCAAACAAGTTGACTAGGACATTTGATTTGAAGCCATCAAATGGTTGATAATTAGTACCATGAGCCACGCTTAATGATATCCCATGAAAGTTTGCTTCCAACATCCAAACATCCATTTCCTATATGTATCTCATGCTTCATAAAATACATTTGGACCTTGGTGCCCTCTTATTAATTAGTTGAAGGCCCGCAAAAGTCAAGAATGTATCATGATTTTGTATTGACCCAATCACCATCGAGGTCTCCTGAAGAGTCAAAACTAAGGGGCATTGACCAAGTTTTAGTTTTAGCATTTTTGTTTTGGAGGATGTCAACCTCTGCATTTTCAAAGCGAGAACTAATTAACTGAACTAGAACACTCTAACTCTTCAACTATAAATGTGTAGGGCTCCATGACATTAGGACACACACACAAGGATCTCTAATGCAATTAGCAAACTCCAGCCACCCAGCTTCCGTTCCAACTCTTTGCAACAACATGTCTGCAAGGGCTTATCTAACTTCATTTCTCATTGTCACCACCAGCCATTTACATACGCTTGCCACAGCCGGTGCCTTCCCAGATGATGATGATATCTTTGCCTTAGACATTGTGTCAAAATCCGCACGGACCGCAACTCAACCATCAAGGCATCGATGGACTTTGGCCACATTGTGGAAGCTATCCCAAACGGGGTACTCCATCCGACCTCACCCAACGACATCGCCGCCCTAATCCGGCTCTCACTCTCCCAGCCAAAGCCCTTCACAGTGGCACCACGCGGGCAAGGGCACTCTGCTCGAGGGCAAGCCCTCGCCCCAGGCGGGTTGTCGTTGACATGCGCTCGCTCAACGATCACCACCGTGTTGTTGGTCGCTGCTGCCGCATGAATGTGTCTACCCACGAGCTGTGGGTAGACGTCGGCGGCGAGCAGCTGTGGATCGACGTCCTCCACACTACGCTCGAGCACGGCCTCGCGCCCCGCGTCTGGACCGACTACCTCCACATCACTGTCGGCGGCACACTTTCCAACGGCGGCATCGGCGGCCAGGCGTTCCGGCACGGGCCGCAGATCTCCAACGTGCACGAGCTTGACGTGGTAACAGGTACACGTCTCTTGCTGGCCATGTATATATACATAAATCTCAGAGCTAACCAGTGCACAATGTTTGATGGATCTGTGTTTTCTTGTTGATTCATTTATATGACAATTAACTAACGAACAAGCTGGTTGCAGGCACGGGCGAAATGATCAGCTGTTCGCCGGACAGGAACTCGGACCTGTTCTTTGCAGCACTGGGTGGGCTGGGTCAATTTGGGGTCATAACCTGGCCCGGATCGCGCTTGAACGCGCTCTGAAACGGGTTCTTTGGGTCCGACTCGCCTACTCAGATGTACAATCGTTCACCAGTGACCAGGAACTGCTCATCTCGAAACGGTCTGCTGGCGGATCCGATGGCTTCGACTACATTGAGGGCCAAGTCCAGCTGAACCGGACCCTCACCGAGGGCCGGAGGTCGTCTTCCTTCTTCTCACCCTCAGAGCTCGACCAGCTTGCCAACCTCGCCATAGGGACCGGGTCTGCAGCAATCTACTACATCGAGGGTGCAATGTACTATCATGACGATACTGCCTCCTCAACCTCTGTAAAACTTGAGACACTACTGGAAGAGCTGAGCTTCGTCCCGGGGCATGCGTTCGTCAGAGACGTGTCCTACGTGGATTTTCTCGACCGAGTCGGCCGGGACGAGCAGAAGCTGCGGTCGGCCGGCGTCTGGGACGTGCCGCACCCATGGCTGAACCTCTTCGTCCCGAGGTCGCGCATCGTGGACTTCGACGCCGGCGTGTTCAAGAGCATCCTCAAGGACACCAAGCCCGTGGGTCTCGTTCTCATGTACCCCATGAACAAGGACAGGTGGGACGACAGGATGACGACGGCCACGCCGGACGAGGACATGTTCTACGCCGTCGGGCTGCTGCGGTCCGCGGTGGCCGCCGGCGACCTGGAGCAGCTGGAGAGGGAGAACGCCGCCGTCCTGGAGTTCTGCCACCGGGAGGGCATAGGGTGCAAGCAGTACCTGCCGAGCCACGCGTCGCGGGACGGCTGGAGGCGGCATTTCGGCGAGAAATGGAGCAGGTTCGCCGCGCTGAAGCGCAAGTACGACCCGCGCGCGATTCTGTCGCCGGGGCAGGGGATCTTCTCCGCCGCCGGTGACGGCTTGGCCGACCAAGCCGCCTCTGATTCTCTGTAGAGGACGTCGTTGCCTTTCCCGTTTCTAGCTTGGCCTGCATGCATGCATGTTGTGTGGAGCAAGAGCAAGCTGGAGGCGACGGGTCGTCCGGTCGGAGGTGCTTGCACGTATACGACAGTGTTAGTGGTCAGCAGGTGTGTGTGTGTTTAGAGAATCAGAAATTTGGATCTGGTTGATACTATATCCATGGAAAGGCGACGTGATGAATTTGTTATTAGTTTGGTTGATTCTTTTTTCTATTAGGAGCCATAGGAAGGTTTGTGTTGAGATGCTGATCCGGAGATGCGTCCTAGCTAGTTTGATTTGATTTAATATGGTTTATTCTTTAGTTGCTTGTTCGTTCGTTTACTTTTTAGGATGGGTTTATGTACATGTATCTCTCCGTGGAACATGTAAGCAACGAAGTTGCAACAGCTCAGATACTGTGCTTCAAATAATAAATGTCGAATTGTTGACCTTCCTCTGGTTACATACTCAATTAAATATGCATGTACAAAATTTGAGACATTCTTAAATTATTTGCATGTGCTTCAAAAATTATGTGATTCACATAACACATGAGATTTTAAGTTGTCGCTGAGGTTATCATTTTGTGAAACCCCAAAAATACCCCCCTAGGCTTTCTAGGAGCTAAGAGAAAATTTATACTCCATCTCGAAAGAAATGTCATTTATGTTAGCTTCAATGTTAAATCAAATCAACCTTAGTTTAATTAAGTTTTTATAAATATGTACTAATATTTTGAGGGAATCAGGAGAGGTTGCCCTTACCCCTACTGGTTATATATTTATATAAAGAAAAGAACGAGATCCAAAAGAGTTTTAGGAAACAAAAAAAAAGGTAGCAAAGAAAAATAAGAAAATTACAGCAGGGCTTCTAGCCATCGACTAATAAGGGGGAAGTATTTTGCTTTTGCCCGATGAATGACCTGGGCAAACTCTTGTTTGAATATGCATCTACACCGTTGTAGAGAAGGTTGTAAACCTCCAAAGATTAAGTCATTTCTGGACATCCAAATACTCCAGCCCATGAGACCAATAATCTCCATGAAGAAGGGCACATATATATGTGATTGTCTCTTAAAGCTTGTAAACACATCTTCTGTATTCTACAAATATTGATGATATTAAATAAGTAGTATTATATTTATCATAGAATATATTTTCGTAATATACATATTTAGAATCACAATCATTTATACTATATCTATAAATTTAGTTGAATTTAAAATACTTTGACTTTGATATTGCACTCTCTTTTTTGGACCAAGGGAGTAGTATTCTCTTACCCTGTCATGGCTTTTCCACATCTATACTAGGTAGGGGTGGGATGTGTTTCATCCATGTGATGATGGCGATGAGCAACTCATAAAGCTCGTGCTCATGCTGGGTCTCTCTCAACCATATCCTCGTCTCTACTAGATGATTTTTCCTTTGCGGGGAAAAGATTGGAGCTCTCACAAACTTTCCTGTGGCTCACCATAAGTTCGGGAGCTTGCCGGGCGACGCCTAGCCGTCTAGAAGACTTCCCTTCCAAGAGTAACAAAAGCTTCGCGAATTGGACAGAGCCCGATAAGTGCTCATGGTTTTGTTTGCTCTCAATTGCTCTCTAACTCTAAATCTCTCAACCAACACTTAGTCTCACACTAATTACTCACTCACAAAGAGAGAGTTGGGGAGAGCTCTCACAAGGTTGGGAATGCATGTCTGAAGGTCAGCAGCCTACCACAAGGCGGCGGGATGGATATATATACCTACCAAAAAACTAGTTGCTAGAGCCCCAAACTAGCCATTAGGTCTACAGAGTGCGGAACTTCTGCACCTGCGCGTGGAACTGTCGTGCCTCTAAAGTTAAGTGAAAATCCATGAAACTTTCGAAGTTATCTTGAATAACACAGACCACCTCATGAACAATGTCATAAGTTTTAGCTCTGAATTCCTATTTCGATGATATTGGACTTTATAGAAAACTTGTTCAGAGGGCTACCGCCCAATCGAGAAAACAAGCCCCAAGATCAACAAGTGCAGGTGTTGTACGATGTGTTTCTCTTATGTTAGCACTTGGGTTCGCTTAGTTTAAGCACTTGAAACTTTGTCTAACTATTCGTGTTGTATCCCCTTGATAGTACCTAACGCATATACTCAAGATCAAAAGGATATAACTATTTCAACCACTTGAGTCTTCAATGTCTTCATATGCCATTACTTCTCAATATCTCTTCATAAGGGCACTCACAATGTAGAAAACATCATAGTTTCTATGGGCATTAATTGGAATGCCACCTAATCATTTTCTTGATGTGGCAAGGTGAGAGGGAAAAAAAGAAGAAATCGTTTCTTATGAGGAAATGATGTCTTCGCGTCTAACATCAGAGAAACCACTTTTTACCGCGTTGAGAGGGACATACTGGTTTCTTCCTCCTTCCTCCAGATCCCATGCACCGTCCCCAACTTCCTTCCCCTCGCGGTCATCCCTTCGTTCTAAAAGGAGTGCCCGTTTCAATACAATACGAAATCATATTATCTTTAGTTTGACCAAATTTTATAAGATGTACTAACATTTATGATATCAATAAATAAGTATCATCATATCCACCATCGAATATGTGTTCATTATATTTATTTTAAACCATCACTATTGGTATTATTTTCTATAAATTAAATTAAATTTGAAATAATTTGACTTTGACCTGATCTAAAATTGCACTACTTTTTTTTTTTTTACGAAGGAGTCCTGTATTCTCTTACCCTGTCATGGCTTTTCCACGCCTAACTAGGACTAGGATGTATTTCATCCTTGTGACGACGGCACGCGTCATGAATAATCATGACCGTGGAGTGCAGTGGAGTGGAGTGAGTGACTCTTGTGTGATCCACGGCGAAATGCAAATCATGCAAGAAAGCGCAGATAAGAATTCTGTGCAGCGGATAAGGCCGCTGTACTGCGGATCCAAGGCAACGAATTGACGATAAGTTCACCTGCTCGCCTGGTTCTATTGCTCGACGAGGCCATCTCATCAGCGGCCAACAATCACACCACGACGGCGACGTGCCGAGGAGGCGGCGACGGCGACGGCGACCAATAAGCCAGTCCACCTCTCGCCCGCGCGTGCGGCACACAAACGTGCGGTGCGGCGTCCGCCATGTCGCCTCTGTAGCTAGCTGCCGGCGCCGCGGAGGAATAGCAAGATCGCGGCAGCCATGTCCACATAAAAACCCACGGCGAAATAAAACAGGCCGGCGCGAGCTCCTACGATCGAGTACGTCTGTGCACGGCCAATAGCCAGGCGCGCGGCGCCCGGGGACGTGCGCGTCCGGGGTCTGGAGGCATCGGGATGAGCCGCGAGCGGCCGCCGGCGTGGCCATCCACAAGCCGGCCGTCGCAAGAGGACATCGCCCGCCTTTTCGGTGTCTCTTAGAAGAACCCTTCAGCTAGCTGGCTAGGCTTGTTGGCTCTTGAGAGGCCTCTAGGTTTCACAGAGGATGTGCGTCCTGTCCTGTCAGGCGATCGTGTTCAGACATTCCGCCAGATATTTCTCGCGAGGTTGCTGTGCATTTATTTCGACTTTCCAGCGCCGGTTTAATTTAATCGTCTGGATGTCCGTGATCGATCTTCTTCTCATCTCATCCCGGTGGCAAACGAGTGGAGCAAATTGGTCGGAGCGGCAGCAAGATGCATGTACATGCCAGCGTAGAGCAATGTCAGCATGACTCGTGCATACTCTGGAACCTGTTTTTGAACCTAGCAAGTCGCACCATATGCTGAAGCATACATCGTTTCTTGTCTTGTATTCCAACCATGGACATGCAGCATCATGGGCAGCGGATTAGAAGGCTTAAAAGTTGCACGATTAGCTAAGTTGACAACCAAAATTGTCCAAGAGAAGCGTTCCTAAATTTGTTGTGAAAACAGGCTAGGCCGGGTTTTAATACCGGCTAGGTCACGTTTGTCAAAGTTGTCAAAATGCAGAATGAATTTCACCATTGTGTGCCTCTTGTTGAGTTGATAAAAAAAATAGAATCAGTCTAACAAAAACATCAGGGTCGGTCTAACACTATCGGCTAAATTGGTGTAGGATGTTTTGAACCTGATAGTGATACACTATCACTAGGTTGTTTTAAATCTGGAAATGATATATTATCACTGCCGCTGCCAGGCGCATGGGTATGGTCTGCCTGCCTGGCTGTAGACATGCCAACAAGATCTTTGCACTCGTTAAAAAATCCTAACTCAAGCATAAGCATAATCACAAATAACCAAACATTAAAGTTCACAAGCTCAACCATTAGGATGTACGGAATTGACTCGACTCAACATCACTACTGTACTAGCATTTCTTTGCAAGGGCATCCGAGATAGAGAATCTGTTGCGTGGAGGTGAGCGAGCTGGATCCTCCACACACTACTGGAGGCGCATGCTTTGCCAGGCCCAGAAACCCTCGGCAAAGGCCTCGAGAGCTGCCTCGCAAAGACCCTTTTTAGACTATGAAAGGGTCTTTGCCGAGGGCCCTTTATCGGGCACTCGGCAAAGCCTTTGCCGAGGGCCAGGACGGCCCTCGGCAAAGAAAAGAGCCCGTCAGGCGCCGGCGCCGTTGGCGGTTTCTTTGCCGAGGGCCCACCCTCGGCAAAGAAATGTTTTTTTTTTGAATTTGTTTGCCGAGGGCCGACACTCGGCAAATAAATTTTTTTACTTTTTTTAAAAAACCTTTGCCGAGGGCCTTCTCCCTGACCCTCGGCAAAGAAATTTTCAGGATTTTTTAAAAATTCTTTGCCGAGGGCCGGCCCTCGGCAAAGTTGGTAAATAATTTTTTTTATTTTTTTTTAAAACCTCGGCAAAAAAATTTTCAGGATTTTTTAAAAATCCTTTCCCGAGGGCCGGCCCTCGGCAAAGAAATAGTTTTTTTGAATTTTTTTAACCCTTTGCCGAGGGCCTACTCCCTGGCCCTCGGCAAAGAAATTGTCAGGATTTTTTTCAAAACAATCTTTGCCGAGGGCTATTG